GCAGAAATAAAAAATGTATTCAAGGGTCACTGGGGAACTCAGATCTGTTAAACAATCAAATTGAAATTCTAGAACTGAAAAAAAGAACAATTATAATCTCAGTAGATGGATTAAATACCATGTTAGATACAACAGAAAAGAAAATTGATGAAGGCAGGTTACCAGAAAAATTTTAACTGAAGAATGGAGACAAGAAAACATAAGAAAAACAGAAAAGTGCCTAAAAGGCATGTGGGCCACAGTGAAATACATATATGTAATCCAATTCCCAGGAGAAGGAAGATGAAAGCATTATTTGGGGACAGAATGAATATTCGAAGAAATACTTAGAGAAATTTCCAAAACTGATGAAAGATAACTTAAGACAGAATCAAGGAGCCCTGCCTTCCCTAAGTAAGATAAATACTAAGAAAATCAGACATAAACCCATCCAGTAAAATAAAATAAAATATTGCTAGAAGTAAAAGAAAAGGCCAAATTTTAAAACTAGCCAAAGGAAAAAATACCTTCAAAGAAGAACAGTGAGACAATTGGTTATTAAAATCAACCATTTGCTGAGCTATAAAGCATAAAGAAACGATGGAAGCCGGAAGACAGATCCAGTTGGTGAAAGAGAATAACTTTCACAACAAATTTTACCCAACAAAAATATTGTTCAAAAATATAGACAAAACTAATTTACAGTGGGAGAAAAATAAAGCAGCCTGAGGCTGTTAGTTGATGCAGGGCTAGACTGCAAATGGGAACCAGGAAATTTGGGGAAGGAGTGATGAAAATGTTCTTTATAGTGATGGTGGTGGCAATTTATTAGAACTCATTAAAGTGTGTGCCTCAAATGGATGCAGTTTACTGTTCAGAAATTATATACCATTGCAATTGATTTTAAAAACTAAAGGCAGATTTGTGCTTCTGGCCAAGATTAAGAAAGAAGCACTAGACTACCCTCCTGTGTGAAGCAACTTAAAAACTAGACAAAACAAAGAAACAGTAGTTTTTATGACATTGGACATCAGGCAATGTAGGATAGTGATCTCCAGGAGGTTGGAAACAAATGAAGTGAACTCTAAGGTCACGCCGTTTTTGTACCTGAAAAGCAGTTTCCAGGCTCTGCAGTGCAGGAGGGCCACCCAGCTGAAGCCCAGAAGTCTGAGATATGAAGCCAGGTTGACTCTGCCTCACAGAGCTGAGTACTGATAAATTACCTGCATTTGAGGAAACTACTTGAGGCCAGGGTAAGAACCACCCTAAAGGTTGAGGGAGGCAAATCCTCAGTCCTCTCACATGGCTGGAAATAGTTTCTGCTTCCACCAGGCCGACTGGACAACCTCAGAGTTCCCATGGCACTGGGCCAAGCCTCAGAATGGTTTTGCTGCAGCAGTGGGGCAAAATTACCCCAAATGAAACGCTACCCTGGTACAGCCTAATGGCAAGAACTGAAAGGATCCAGCTATTTCCAAATAACTTAATTCTAGCCCAGAACAAAGCTCAAGCACCCCTCAAGGGTTCACAGCCCACACTTGGAGAACTGCTGTGCAAAGAAATACCTCATAGTGACTGTTTTACATTTCTGGATTAAATCAAGCAATTTGGATGGTTTCATAAGAACAGTAAGAATTGGGTTGTTCTCATGGTGTGTGCCACCCCAGTGGCCTTCCTTGGCTGGGACACCAGGGAACAAGAGATGAAAAGGCAGCACTGCTGAAGAGGCCTGAGAACTTGGTTATTCACATCTGTTTCCACCACTAGGGGGCTCTTACTTCATCATCCATCTTTCCAGGAACTCAGTGCTGTGGAAGTCAGATGGCACTTCCTGTTTCTCTGATTCTGTGTTCGAGTCCCTACTTTATGAGAGGAAGAGCAATTTTATGCACTGTTTGTTCCCAGCTGTGGGAGCCCATGTCACTTTGGTGGGTTTTGAAAGACACTTTGCTTTGTTGAGATTCACCTGCATCTCAAATATAACCTTAGTCCTGCGGACTGACCATCATCACTTTTTATAATACAGATGTTTGTTGAGTATCCAAACACTGGCATCAGCGCTCCATGTGAACAGGTGGTATGCAGGCACACAATTGTATAGCATGACCCCAAGATTAGCCAAAACAAAACCCTAAACTGTGGAGAGACCCGACCTGTCTCAAGATGGCTTCTGGTGTCATCATAGCTGTATTTTGATCATTACGTAAAGGTATTATATAATCACACACATAAACCCATACACATGTGTCTGTGTCTCAAAAAAAAAATGCTGTTTTATTTAACCGCCTAACAATTCAAAACCCCCAAATGACAGCTCTAACTCTATTTACATTTGCTCTTTCTCTTGAAATGTCCCTTATTACATTTACATAACTCCTTAACAACTTCTCATCTTCTGGCAGGGAACATCGTTGCTCACTAAGGATTCCAGGAACCTGAGTTCAGAGAATGCCACCTACCTTGATTTAATTGCAGTAGAAAGCAAGGAGACAGTCATATTGTCACCTTAGAGGATAGAGCAGTGACATTTGGCAGTTTCAACCCATAGGAAATTTGACATTCTAACAAATTTCCTAATCCACTTAAAGGAGCCGTCCTTTCACAACCAGAAAAAACCAGTTTGTTCTCCTATCTGCAGGTGGAGTTCACTAGAGTAGAAGAAATCAGCCTAAACAAAACAGCTCATTGTCTCATTGTCCTTGCGTTCTGCTTCTCCAGCAGTTTGGGGGAAGTTTCCTTATCTTCTCTCCACCGAGAACTCTTTTTTTTTTAATAAATGAATTCTTTTGACTGTTGCATGGTGAAATCTTAGGCCTTTATCTAAGAAGTTTTTAAAAGCCATCCACAAATCCAGTGTCACTGATGCTTTCTATTGAACAGGGTGACTTTTGTCTTACATTGTTGCTTGAGAAGGCTGATCTGGGAGGCACAGAGCCAAACAGCAAATAACTCCAAGCCCCTTCCTTTCTCGGGATTGCTTCATCTCTGATGGATTGGGCTGTAGTAAGGGCTTCTTTTGTATTAGACTAGAGCTTACCACTGCTGTTTTGTTTGTGGAGACCTGATAGGGCAACTCAGTTTAATTCTAAAGTCAAGATGAAATCTCTACCTGTGGGAGTTCCCTTCTAAGCGTTAGCCACATTCAGACCTTTTTTGGGGGGGGGGGGTGGCACTGAGAAAACACTGAAATGTCAGTGGCGTGCAGTAGGTCTTATTCTGATTTCTCGTGTTGGGTTTTTCCTACATGTGGTATACAAAATGAACTAAGCCCTACATCTGCTTCTGTTAGTGATTACAACAAAGCCGCAATAATGTAAGGTGGCATGCTACTTTAAAAATATTCCAATATTAGTATTTCCAGCTCTTTGCAGGCTTCAGACTCGGAACTTGACCTTTCACTCCCGGGATTAAGCAGAGTAGTCAGTTGTGTGCATTTTCCAGAATTCCGGGGGAGCTCTCATGTCCGTGTGCCGTGTAAAGGCTGCTGAGCGTCCTTGTCAACTGCGTAGTGTGCAGTGGACAGGGGAAAGTAAGCAAGCGTTTTCCCCCACCACATTTTCTGTTATCACTGTTGTGAAGCTGTTCAGGTTCACAGTCCCTTGTGTAAAATGGTAAGAGCTGGGTATGTTTCAGAAGTCAGAAATGTCCAGATTTTAGCAGGGTAATAAAATACAAACACCATCTAGTAATGTTCCCAATGGGATCTGGAGCAGCACCCCATAAATTAGTGTTTCCATGGGGAAAATATGAATATGTACACACAGAGGAATACATTAAAAGTACTGATGTCAGCCCATAGCAAGTTTTGCTGCCAAATGGGTTTGCTTAAATTTGTTTTTTTACCTTTTCAACTTCAGAATTGCAAATAAGGGGCTGTGGACATATGTTGCAGTGATAGAAATAGAGCAAGAGAAGCCTTATTGAGTCCTGGTGATATTTAATAGAGTGGAATCACAGGACTGCCAGTTGTTACCTTGTGTCTCTTCCTACTAGGCTAATTACTTTCTCTTCCATTCTCTGACCTACTCTTTGCTTATCTGTCAGACGGGTAATATTTGCGTTATGGGCTGTTGTGAGGATAAACGAATGTTAAAACCACTGAACATAGTGATTTGCATTAATGGATATTCATTAAACACTAGCTATTAAAATTTTGCCTCTCCCCTTCCCCTTTTCCTTTTATCAGATAAAAGTTTACTGATGCAGTGGTTGCAATGCCTAGGTGATAATACCACCTTAAAATTTATTTGCAGAATGCCTAGACTTTTCAATGATGAATAAATGTTTTGATGTTATATCATATTTAAATCTTTTGAATGCTACATTCTAACTCTCTGAGGAAGGAATGCTTGCCACTAGCTGATTTACCTGTTATGAAGCCCCTTCTGAAGTTTCTGTCCAGGCACTCATCTTTTGGAAAAATATTTGAAAAGGGCATTGTTGATCATGGGAGTGCTCTGACAAAGATGTAACTGAGGTTCATAATTTAATACATCAGAGAAATGGCATGGGAAGATAAGTCTTTTCCAATGTTATAAAAAAAATTGCAAGGACATTAATGGGCTTTTTAGGGCAAACCAATTTATTTCAAAGTAGCTTTTGTGAAATAGACTTCTGTCTTTAAATTTGAAACGACCTCCCTTTTTGAAAGGGGGAGATCATTGGAAAAGAATTGCCTTTTGTTCTCAGGCTGTTTGTTTTTTTTATGGTTTTCTTTCGTACTTTGTAATCCATTAACAGAAATTCCCTAAAGTGTCAACATCTGTTCTAATGATGTATGGTCATACCAGATAGGAGATTTTAATTTATTTTTCTGGCCTTTCCTCTAAATTCATGAAGATTATAATTACCAATGCTTGCTCTACTATATTTTTTCAGAGCAGAGACGCAAGAATTACAACAGAAGATTTCAGGAAAGTTAGCTGTGTGATGGGCATTTTGCCTTCCAGGATGTACTAGCATTTAAGTGGGCCCAGGGGCACCTGCCTGTATTTATTGCCTTGTGTTGCTGCCCCCCACAGCTGAACTATCAGCAGAAAGTCGGCATCATGTACTGCAAAGCCGGACAGAGCACGGAGGAAGAGATGTACAACAATGAATCAGCCGGCCCCGCCTTTGAGGAATTCCTTCAGCTGCTGGGAGAACGCATTCGGCTCAAAGGATTCGAGAAGTACCGCGCACAGCTTGACACCAAAAGTAAGAAATACTTAGACCCTCCTACGACGCTGATTTTCCTCCTGCTGTGTTGATGTTCGTCTGCTAAATTGCCCATAAAACAACATTGCCACTTATTGCAGAAAACTGCTGGTGATGGAGGAGAGGGAGCCAGAGAGGGAGGATGTGGCTGCAGAGCAGTTGAAGACTCTTATCCAAGTTGCTAGGATTGATCTGGAGATCAATAGTGTGATCAGAGGTGTGGAGGGAATAGAAGGTGGACGCAGGTCGTGCAGAATGGCTCCTGGGTAGCGTTGCATAAATTTCACTATATTTAGCTGAATGTTAAAGTGATTAAAAACCCTAGCAACTTACAACCATCTGGTCGTCAGCCCTAGAATTTTTGACTTTCATTAATTAATTTCATAATCCCCATGCTTATCTTTGTAGCCTGGCTTTCTGTGGTTTTTTTCATTCACCTTTGTATTCTTTTAATATCTGCCAGGGTGTTTGTTTATTTTCTATTATTATCACCCGTAGTCTAACTTAATCTCTAGAAAAACAGTCTTCTTAGCTTTGGTATTAGTTTGGCTCATAAAGCGTGCTGATTAAAAGCACAATAACGAAGCAGCCTGTTTACTTACAGCTCACGAATGTACAAGGTTGTCCACTCCCATTCCCAAGTCGTTACTAAAATGCTTAAATTCTCAAGTATCTATTTTGGTTAGAGTATGTTGACTTCTGCTGTGTGTCTGTGTGGAGGCAGTTTTCAGTTTTAACCTCAAAATCTATTCACAGACACCTGTGACCTGTGTTTCTTTGAGAAGGTCTTTGGATTAGCACATCTGTATTGCAGTCTATAGTAATCTCTCTGATTTTCTGTACCGGAAATTAAATAAGGAGTCGAGTCATGAAAACAGAAAAGCATTCATAAACTACTGCAGGGAAGAATTTCCTGTTGCCATGGTTTTGCTGTTGCCAACTTGGAAACGACGTGCAAGAGAGACTATTAAAACCCATAAATAGCCTAGACTCTTAAATATTATTTTAACGTTCCATACTCTGCTTGTAACTGCATAAAATATTAAATCTCAATATACCCTTAAACTCTTTGTAGCCATATATTCTGACATTAAACCTGTACAATTCATTCATGTGGTCCCAATTTGTTGTGTTATATGAATTATCATCACCACAAAGAGCTATTGAAAGAGTCCGGGAAGAGAATGTAATAAGCACCCTGATTCTATAAATGAATGGCCAGATTGGGAGTAGGTAAGATTATGTATTATTTGTGTATTTACACATTCCCAGCCACCTGTCGACAATGAAGGGCAATGTGAGAAACGTATACCAAAGCCATACTTAAGCAACGTGGCATTACGTAAGGCAGTGGAAGAGGCAAACGACGCACTCTGCACGTTTTGCCCCCAGTATCCAATAATCATGAAGGCCAGAGGGGGGGGACGAGCCTTGATTGACAAACTGCCTGTAACTGTAGTTAGTTATTCAGTCCTTCAGCAGGGAAGGGTCCCTTTTCACTACAGTCCTTTAAGGATCCCTGTAACCTTTCGAGGCATAGCTCTTGAGCAGAAGAGTTCATAGTTTTCTGCTCTTTCAGAGTGTCAGGTTTCCAAAAGTGAATGCAAAGTAGGAAAGTGTGTTCATTCTAAAGGCCTGAACAAGGCATTATGCATGTTGATCTCTCTTACTCCAAGCGGGTAGGGTCAGAAACTAGAAGGGACCGTTATCCTCGTCATTTAAACAGGTATTAAACAATGATAGACAACAGGAATAGGGACCAACCAGCCTCTGCACACCCCAGCAGCCTCGTATGGGCCATGGCACACCCAGAGATGACACTTTGTTCTGTGCCCTGTGAGATAATCTCACCACATTTTATCTAACTTGATTTTGTGTGAAGAAGCTATTTCTTTCAATACAATCCTTAAAAAGAGAAAAATGCTTTCAAGAACAAGCGTTCCTAAAGGATTATGCCCTCTGCATATGACAGTTGAAGATGTCACTTGGATCTGTGGATTTTTATTTTTCACCAGATTAAGATATTTGCCAATCTTTATTTCTTTATTTTTTTCCTGACCCCCCCCCCTTTTTCTTTTTCTTTTTAAAGATTTTATTTGGGAATTGGGGGGAGGGGAACAGTGTTGGGGAATCAGGGAGCAGACAAGTTGCTGTCCTAGTTGTGGAGGACACCACTTCACTGGCCCATGTTGGTATTATGATCATTGCGCTCTTCTCGGGTGAGGCAGATCGGTCGCCGGCCATTGGACGGCTGCTCACGGCGGCTCACGGCAGTTCTCACTGGCCACTCACGCTGGCTGCTGGCCATTTCACGGTGGCTCATGGCAATCCACTGCAGCAGGGGCTGCAGCCTATGCCGTCGCCGGCAACTCATGGCAGCCCAGCTCCAGGTCGAGCTGCTGTTCACAGTCTTAGCTGTAGAGGGCACAGTGTCACTGGTCCATGTGGAACCCAAACCGGCGGCCCTGCTGCTCAGAGCTCGCGCTCCCAAGCCAACTCTTAACCAGCTGAGCCACTCAGCTGGCCCTCTGACCCCTTTTCTGAATCTCCAATTACATATGTGTTAGAGCACTTACTAGTGAACCAATGGTTAATGAGACTGTTGATTTAATTTTTTTAACCTTTTTTCTTTATGCTTTCATTTAAATAATTCCCGTTAACATGTATTCAAGTTCACTGTGTTTTTCTTTTCTTCCACAGTGTCTTAGTCTGTTATTAATCCAATCCAATTAAATGTTCATTTCAGATATTGTAGTTTTCCGGGTCAGAAGTTGCATTTGGTTCTCTTTTCATATATTTTCCATTTTCTCATTAGGTTCATGTTGCCCTGTAAATCCTTGAACATGTTTACAATAGCTGTTCTAAAGTCTTCTTGTGCTAATTCCATCATCCCTGTCATTTGGGATTTTCTCCTGCTTTTGAGTTATGTTTTTCTGCTTCACGTGTCTGGTTATTTTTGATTGGATAGATGACATGGTGAATATTTCACTGTTGACGGTATAGATTCTGTTGTCTTCTTTAAAGAGTGTTGAGTTTTGTTTTGGTAGGCAGTTAAATAAATTATAGAACAGCCTGATCTTTATGAATCTTATTTTTCTTAAGCTTTATTGAAGCATACCCAGAGCAGTCTTTACTTTCTGACTGAGTTATCCCTATTATTAAGGCATGACTTCTCTTGTATCTGAATACCTGCATATTCAATGAGGTATCTCCATTCCGGTTGGTCAGAACTCCAATGTCTTCCTCTCTGTGTGAACTGTGAGAATTGTTTGGCTTATAATTCTCTGGGAGTGGTTCTTTCGCTAATAGTTTTGTTGTTGTTTTTTTGCCTGGCTTTGGAATCTCACCCTGTGTGCATGTACTTTAATACTCAGCCTGCAAATTAGGGGACTCACATGCAGATTTGAACCTCTAGGTAGTTTCCTCCTCTTTGGTACTCTGCCCAGCAGATATCATGGGCTTCCTGAACTCCAGTCTGTTTTAGCGTCCCTCTTTGAAGCCCTGCTCTGCGCCATTGTTCCAAAAGTGCCTCCAGGTAGAAAGCTGGGTGTAATCATAGGGCTCACATTTGATTCTCATCATTATCCATTGCTGCCTATTATAAAATGTCTGAAAAATTGTTTCAGATATATGTTAACTTTTCTAGTTATTTAACAATGGGAGAGCAAGTCCTGTAGCAAGTACTGTTATGGCCAGAAGCAGAAGTCCCAAATACTTTTCATACATGCCATCTGTGTAACCTCCACTGACCCTGCTACATACCAGTTATCCCCATTTTATAGAATTGCCTTCTTTAGAATAACCAACATGTCTAAGATTAGACAGCTAGTAAGCATTAGGGAAAATGACCAGATCCTAGTGGTATAGTTAATGAAGTACTCAGAGAAAGCATAAATGTAGAATTTAGCACAGCGAAGCCCAGAGCTTTGCCTTGTGGCTATGTCTTCCCCTCTCTCAGCCCTTGGGCTAAAAATACCCAAGCCATCTCATGAGACAGCTCTACTTGTCATGTATTATAATTATATTCAGATTTTAGTACTTTGGTAAAGGAAGGAGAGGCTCAGGGAAGGAAGGATTGATGGAACTATTGAACCATTTCTCACCCCCCCCCCATTTTCTGTACAAAGTTCATTTTCCCATCTCAGATATAAGGATCTCTAGCAAATAAGCTACAAATATGTCAGTCAGGTTTTGGTATTTGCAGTAGTGGATTTTTTTGTTTCTTGTTTCCGCATTTGGATGACATAACCTCTAGATAATTACAATCCTTTTACACTACAGTAAACACAAAAATAAACTTCCTACCAAGCAGTTTGTTATTTGAAAACTGGAGACCACCCTCATTTCGAGCTGTGCATATAGATTATTATTTGGGAAGTTATTTCTTGACCGAGATTTGTTTGTCAGGTCAGCACAGAGGAGACTTAGAAGCCCTTTGTAAGCATTTCTTCAAAGCCTTCATTCGTTTGCTGCAATATTAGTAAATGCTTGTTACTTCTCCCATTTTTTAGCAGTTTGTTATTGATATTTGTTTTTGTTTTTTTTAAGATTTTTTTTTTTTAATTGGGGAATTGGGGGAAGGGGAACAGGCAAGTTGCTGTTGTTTTGTTCTTCAGTCTAGTTGTGGAGGACATTGCTTCACTGGCCCAAGTTGGCACCATCATTGTGCTTTTCCCGGGCGAGGCAGATCAGTTGCCGGCTTCTGGACGGCCACTCACTGCGGCTGCTGGCCCCTCATGCTGGCTGCTGGCTACACACGGTAGCCCATGGCAACCCACTGCAGCAGGGGCTGCAGCCTACACCGTTGCCGGCGACTCATGGCAGCCCAGCT